GTTAATTTATTCCTAAGGACAGAAAGGCTAGGTAACTGAAATCTTGAGTGAATGAATGAATGAATTTTTTTTTTTTTTGAACTATGGCCATGCAACAGGAGGGTCAGAGTTTAAGGCCATTCTCAGCTACACCGTGAGTTTAGAGGCAGCCCACCAGGTTACACAGACACCATCTCAAAAATCAGTGCCCTACCCCCAAAAAGCTCTACCCCAAACAACACAAACATGCTTGAGTCTAGAGACTTACGTGCCTTGATAGGGATTAGAGGATGACCTTCAGTTCTAGTCACAGGTCAGCTCTTCCACAGGCCACATCCTTAGCAAAGAAATGTGGGGCAGCACTCTCAGTAGCTTAGGAGGTCTGTCAAAGGTTCAGAATAGCAGAAAGCTGTAAAGCCTTTCAGATTTGAGGGTGTCTGCTGTTTCTGTTTGTACCATTGGTGGTTTCTCATCTAGGTCTTAACTCTTAAGATCTTTTGGCCCTTTCAAGTGTGGTGGTCTGTAGATGAGCAGTGCCTGACGGTTTTGGGTACTTTGTAAAAATGCAGTCTTGGCCTCACTCTTGGTTGAGTGAGTCAGAATAAGTCTCTTAAAAATGTCTCTTGTGGTTCTGGGGATGGGCCTTGGGAATGCTATACTCCAGCTTAACAAGATTCCCAAAGCTCCATGTTTGTTAAACTTCTATTCTAGAATATATTTTCAACTGTTTGCCTTGAAAACTTTTGCTCAAGATGCCATTGAAACTAAATCCTGCCAAAAGGAAAACTTTGTTTTTCGAGACAATGTCTCTGTAGCTTAGGAGCCTGTCCTGGAAAGCTCTGTAGACCAGCCTTGCCTGGAACTCACAGAGATCCTCCTGTCTCTGCCTTCTGAGTGCTGGGATTAAAGTCACGCACCACCACCTCTTGGCCTGTCTTACTACTGTCTTAATAGTGTTAAGTTTTGTGAACTATAAAATAACGTTTTATAGTATAGTACTCTTGAGACTCCAGGTTAAAAATATATATGTATCAGAGAGAGTACAAGGGAAAAAGAGCAGGAGTTTATAGGTACTACTGGATGTTTCACCCCCAGGACAAGGATAGTGGGGACTCAGCTGTGGTGTTGGCTTGCTGGCAGGTGGAGGGAAGTGGTTGTTTAGACGTCGTAAATGCCCCCATTCCATAAAAAGTAGTAAGATAGGACTGCGCAGGCTATTTGGAAACAGGATCGACACAAGTATTGACTTTTTAATTTTTGCTAATTGCAGTTTTCAATGTTTGCTAAGTTAGGATTTTAGAAGCCAAGGGGAAGAAGAGGTGCTTTTTTTTTGGCTTGTGCTGAAGGAAAACTCAGAAAACTATGCACATAGTCATTTCACATAACACTTTGTTTCCTCCTTCCTCCCCCCATCCATCCATTTGATTATCTTTCTTCTTTCTGTCAGCCTCTGCTTTCAGCTAATCAATAGTTTTTAGCCTACCAGTCCCTTTGCCCTCTGGATTTATTACATCTGCCCATTCTATGCCTTGGTTCTTAGCTAGAGATAGTGGCATCCTATGTGGAGAGGTCATTTGAGGCAGTTTTGTCTTGCTACTGTGGTGATAGTGCTGCTGTGGGAATCTAGTGGGGAAGATAGGTGCATGTAATAATCTGGTAGGGCTGGGGGCCACCCCCATTAAAAAGATCTATCCAATGGGCAGTGCTGAATTTGAGAAAGCTTGACCTAGCCATCTCTGCCAGAGACCACTAATTTGTCACTGGCTTCCAGTTTCATGCCTACTTTTCCTTCAGATTGCTGTAGAAAATTCCTTTCTAAAATATATCAGCTCCTGTCATCTCTTTTCTTAACATTCCCCTTTGCCAAATGAGGTGCAAGTTCCTTACCATAAGGTTATGATATAGGAAGTGTTTTGTTATTGCTTTCAAGCTTCATCCTTGTCTCTTTAGCTTAACCCTCTAGTGGCCTAGTGGTGAGTGAACTCTATGTCATTGTGCTTTGATCTGTAGGTGCATTTTCCTAGCCTTCCATCTCCCTCTTCAAAAACAGTCTCAGCCAGCCCACGCCCCCCATCTCTCTTTCTCCCCCTTCCTTTCTGAAAAGTGTCTACACCCCAATAATCCTCTCTGATGCAGCAATCCAAATCAAACCGAATTAGAAAAATCCCACGTTTGATTGATACAGCGCTCCAATATGACCTTCCAGTCCCCCAGAGAGGAGATGGGAAAGGGAGACCAGAAAAACCAGTCTTATTTTCTGGGAGGCAGTTTAAATCCCCTGTGGGAGTGGTCTTGAACCTCTCTGGGGGGAGAGGTCATCATTTGGTGGGCTTTCAGAGGTGCAGCAGGGTTTGGAGGGAGATACGGGAGGAGGGGCTTGGGTGGAACCTCCACCATAGCATCTTCCTCTCCCTCTTCCCCTTATTTCTCCTGTGTTGGCACACTTACTCCACCTTAAGTCTGCTCTAGCACTTGCCTCCTTTGTGAAGTGCCTTTGCCTCTGCTCTCTGGATACCTCTGTTACGTGTGCATTACTGTATTGTGTCAATGACTTACACGTTGCCTTAGTGTCTGTATATCTTCCTAGCATATAACTTCTGTTCCAGGGATAGATGCATGCATGTCAATGTATTCTAAGCACCTACAGTAGTCCTTCCTCAGATGTTCAGTTAGAATTCTTTTTCTTGAAATAGCCCGGCTGACTTAGAAATTAGCTTGCAGATGAGACAGTCCTGTATTTGTTTCGTGCAGTGAGAGTTGTATATAGATTATTCTTTATTTTCTCTGTGTACTCTTTTTTGCTATACCTTCATGCTTCCTGTTGCCACCATTTTTTTGAATGCCATTTTGCATTGTGAATTTGTATCCCGTTTCTGTTTTTTAAATTTTTTTCTTTCTTTCCCTCTCTCTCTCCCTCCCTCCCTTTTTTCCCCCTCTTCAAGATGGAGCCTCCCAAGTGCTGGGATTAAAGGCATTAGCCACCGCATGCAGCTGCTTCTGTTAGTTTAAATGATGCTGCTACTTTAGGTCTTTTTAGTGGCCTGCAGGACCATGCAGTTTGTTGGCTGCTTATTGAAGAACTTGTGTTTGTTCCAGCTCAGCTTCAGAGAACTCCTTAGTTGCAGGCAGTAGGTATGGAATAAAGGGAAAAAGGAGTAAGACTTATTTGGAAAAGCCAAGAAACAATTCTAATGAGAAATCTTGGGAGGAAAGGTGACCTATTACAATTTTTTCTATGTTAATAATGTACTATGTGGAAGACAAATTGTATTGACTGTTACAACTGAATCAAAATGAAAGTGAGTTTGTGACAAATCTGAAAATTGCTATAGACCATCTAGTGTGTGTGTGTGTGTGTGTGTGTGTGTGTGTGTGTGTGTGTGTGTGTGTGTGTGTGTAGTATTTCAATACATAATAGAATTTAGTGTTTTGGCCAATTGTGATTTTAATTAAAAACACTTTTGCTTATGTGTATGAGTGTTCTGCCTATATGTATGTCTGTACCATCTGTGTGGTGCCTGTGGAGTCCAAAGGGGATCAGATACCCTGGGACTAGAGCTACATATGAATTGTTGATTCCATCACCATCCTTTAAAAATTTTATGGGTATTTTATGCTTATGAGTGTTTTACCTACATGTATGTATGTTTGTGCATGTCTGTATGTACACAATGTGCATGTCTGTTGTCTGCAGAGGTCAGAAGAGGGAGTCAGATCCTCTGGGACTAAAGTTGCAAGTGGTTGTAAGGTGCCACTTGGGTACTGGAGGTTGAACCTGGGTCCTTTGCAAGAGCAACAAGAGCTTTTAACAACTGAGCCAACTCTCCAGCCTCTCACACGTTCTTTTAAGGTCAAATCTTGCTATGTAGTTTGGGCTGGCCCAAGATTAAGGTTACTCCTACTTCAGCTTCTCACATTCTGGGATTACAGGCTTTGTATTTATTTATTTATTTATTTATTTATTTACTTATTTACCACCATGCATAGCAAAATGTGCTGATTTCTTTACATTAGATTAAAAAAAATCTCAATGTTGTACACTAGTGATTTTTAGTATTCATTACATCTCAGGGTATAGCAATAAGTAAGTGATCTTACTTCAATGTTTTTAATTAATTAAATTTATTCATTTATTTTACATCTGGACTGCAGTCAAGCATGTATAAATTTATTTCCTGAAGGGGACACACATGGGCATACTACATGTATATGTGTATATTACCTTTAAGGTGCTGTGGTTAAGGGACTATGGTAGGCACCACCATCATGTTCTTACACAGCCCTGCCTGCTTCTGTGAGAATGGCTTATGAACTTTATTAGTACGTTAACAAATCAATTTGCTATTTTGTTGCACAATTTATTAGCTGTTCAGTCTGTTCAGGTTACTGCAATTTAAAAGCCAGTGAAGTTTGTTATTGTTTTGCTGTTTACTTTTTAAAACTTAAGTCTGTATTTTTGTTCTTTGAGTACCTTACTTTGCCTAGTTTAGAGTAACTGCCTTACTCCAGCCTATCATGCACAGAATTAAAATAATTTATAAAAAGCCATCCATTAGCAATCAGTTACTTTCTTCAGTTGGAGTAGTTCCCAGTGGATAAATAAGATAGTGAGATTAGTCGCTGAAGAAGACAAGAATTGAGAATTTCTTTAATCTCTATTTTGTGCTCTTGAAAACATTTTTTTCCATATTGCAGTGAGAATAGGTAAGTTAATTGGGAAGCTATATAAAGCATTCACCTTGCTAAGTTAATTTGTAGCCATAAAATTTATAAGATCAGATTATAATTCTCTGTAACACTGGTTATTTATGTAATGTTGTTCAGCCCATGAATACTGAGGATCTTAGAGAGGTCTGTTGGGGTGGGAGATTGTGGGTGGTTGTAAACTCAGAAAAGATTCTTATTAGATTTGACTTGTTTCCTGTCCCACCTTCCTAACATCTCCTGTATTTTCAGTATATTAGTTTAGATTAGTGTGGGGATGTTAGGAGTGGCTCGGTTTCTTTCCTTCTTTTTCCTAGCCAAGGAAGTGTCGCCTGGGGATGCTGGAGGAGAGGCTAGTTCCGATGGGATCAAAGGCACGAAAAGCAAAGAACCCTATTGGCTGCCTTGCTGACAGGTGTAAATCAGGAGTACCCATCAATATGGTTTGGTGGAACAGAGTCACAGAAAACAATTTACAGGTAAAAATAATTTTATTAGACATTTTTTGAAAGTGATTCTTGGTTTCTTTATCTGTGGGTTGGTGGATATGAAAAGGTTGGATGGCCTAGCTGATGCATTTTAAGAAATTAAAATTTTTCTAAAACCAAAAGCAAGGTAGTAGCCTACTGACTAGCTATTACAAATGCTTTTTTGTTTTGTTTTGTTTTTGTTTTGAGACAGGGTCTGTCTGGTAGCCCTGGCTGTCCTGCTCTCAGTGTAGACCAGGCTGACCTCTGCCTCTGGAGTGATAAAGGCTTGTGCTACCACGTTTGCCTCACAGATGACTTTTTTTTTTTACTTTTCCTGCTTTGGAAGCGCCCCCCCCCCATTTTTGCATTCATGTATGTGTGTGCTGCATGTGTGTTCATGTCTGTGCATATGTGTACATTGGAGCACAATCTGTGGAGTTAACCATATAGGCCCTGGGAATCAAATTCAGGTCATTAGGCTCAGCAGCAAGTACCTTTATCCACTGAGCCATCTTGTCTGCCCTATTTCTCCTTTTTTTTTTTTTTTTTTTCTGAGATGGGGTTTCTCTGTGTACCTAGTGGTCCTGAAATTCTGTAGACTAGGCTGGCCTCAAACTCAGAGATCTACCGCCTCTGTCTCTTAAGTTCTGTGATTAAAGGCGTGTGCCAGCACCTCCCAGCTACTTTATTTTTATATTAACTTTTTCCTTTTCAATTTTGTTGATATTTGAAGGTGGTTGTTTTTTTTTTTTTTTTTTTAAATTTTGTTATTAGGGATTTGAATCCAGTTCCTCACACATGCAGAATCTAAGCTTAATCGTTGAGCTACATATATGCTCAGCTCTGTTTAAATTGTCTCTGAATAGTTATGTTATGGATATTTGCTGTAGACGGTTCTATTCACTTGGAATTTGAAATATAAGAATCTTCATATGTTTTCTTTTTGTACTTTTTCTTTTTTGAGACTGTCTTACTTTGTAGCCTATGCTGGCCTTGAATTTATTCGAAGTTGTGGTTCTCCTGCCTCCACCTTCCTTTTGTACTTTTTTTTTATTGGAAATAAAAATTACATATACTTATCAAAAAAAAGTTCAGTAGTATATTATTACATGATTCTTATAATTTGACTATTATAGCAATATATTGAATAATGAAGAAGAAAATTTTAAATTCAAGAACCAGCTTCTTTGTAATATTTAGACAAACCAATAAAATAATTTACATTCCATTTTAATGTATTACTTTTATTTTCATTCTTAAAAAATTGGAATTTATTATGTGATAGTGTTTAATTATAACTTCAGTATAGACATTTGTTTTTCCTCCCAAATTTTGGATGGATTAGTATTTAATTATATATATATATTTTGGGAGGAGGGGTTTCGAGACAGGGTTTCTCTGCGGCTTTGGAGGCTGTCCTGGAACTAGCTCTTGTAGACCAGGCTGGTCTTGAACTCATAGAGATCCGCCTGCCTCTGCCTCCCGAGTGCTGGGATTAAAGGCATGCACCACCACCGCCCAGCAAAATACATTCTTAACTTCAAATCTCACATGCTATACATAAAAAGATATTACAAAGTTAATAACTTGGTTTAATTTCTGTTTTCAAACTTGGTCCTACAATATTCTGTAATATTAATACAGCAGCAATAGTTATGTTGACTTAGGCACAAGGATAAATCACTCCAAAAAAATGTTGCAAAGTGTGATATTTGCCCTAACTGAAACTTCATAGTTAAATAAAACCAACCAAATAACCAACTAACCAGGCAGTGTCATGTAATCAAATATTTTAAAAAAATTTTTGTTGGAAGGTTTTGAGTATGTGAATTAGAAATGCTAATATAGTTTTAAATGACTTTTTCTTGTCTCTGAGATCTGTAGGAAAAGGCTAGGTTATTGCAGTTGTTTCTCAGTTTTAAAAAAGAAATGTGAAAGTACACCGATACCAGGCTTGTGGGAAGGGACACTGTCAGGGTCTCCATTTCTACAACTGCTTTCCACCTTATCCCAGTAGCAGTTCTGAGCTTCCTCCCTCCCGTCCTGGTTTTTTATGCTTACAGTTTGTTTTCTTTTTGTATGTATGCCTGCAGGTCAGAAGAGGGTATCAGACCTCATTACAGACAGTTGTGAGCCACCATGTGGTTGCTGGGAATTGAACTCAGGACCTCTGGAAGAGCAGCCACGGCTCTTAACCCCTGAGCCATCTCTCCAGTCTCTTAGGTGCTTCTTTGTAGTAGATGCAGAAAACCATTAGGTTAGTAAAGGAAGGTTCATTTGAGTTGTACTTAAAACTGCTCTTAGAAACATGGCATTTGTGCTGAAGAGATGGATGACTTTGAGGTTGAGAGAGTTATGTATCCCTTATCCTTTAGTTTCCCAGTAATCACATTGGTGCTGACAGCCATCTATAACTCTGTAGACACCCCCCCACCCCCCAGCAAAAATGATTTTCATTAACATGTGACAAAAGAATCTGTGTCATCTGAAGCTATTTCTGATGGTATTACTTTATGCTTCATATAGTTGCTTTTTTTCAAAGTCATGGGAATGTTGTCCCAACTCAGAACTTTTTTTTTTTTTTTAAAGATTTTATTTATTATATACACCACATTCTGCTTCCATGTATATCTGCACACCAGAAGAGGGCACCAGATCTCATAATGGATGGTTGTGAGCCACCATGTGGTTGCTGGGAATTGAACTCAGGACCTCTGGAAGAGCAGTCAGTGCTCTCAACCTCTGAGCCATCTCTCCAGCCCCCAACTCAGAACTTTATAAGCTTGAAAATGCCTCCCACCGTGAATCATGTGCTATGTTACTGATGAATACTCATGTAATCTCATTAGTACATTTATGAATTCCTAAACCCATAAATAGTTTTCGAGCCATGGTTATGTCAGTGTATTGTATGTTTTTCTATCATAGAAATAAATTCCACATTATTTTGTTACCTTTTAATATGGTTTTTATATTTTTGACACAAGTTTTAAATAACTTTACATCAGATACATTATTTGCTCTTTCAGTTTTTTAAAGATTTGTCTTTTCATACAGCACTTTAAAAATTTTGTTCATTTTATTTAAAAAACTGAAGGCATATCGTATTGGTAAACTTGTGATAGATACTGTGTTTTACATATGTTGTCTTTTGGTTAAGTGTTGAAGGCATGAGTGTTACATGTCAGGGAAGAAGCCCATCTTGAGAGAAGCCGAGTGACATTGAGTATAAACAGAATAGAGAGCTTGGAGCCCACACTGTGATTTTCAGACTGTCTCTCAGATTCTATTGTTTTACGTGCATTAGAAGTGTGATTGGTTCCTGAAACCATGTAACTGAACTTCTGTCAGGAGACTTCAGTTTTAGAATGTCAATGCCTAGAGAGTTTACTAGAGATGGGATACAGCTTAGGCATAATTTGTGCCATTTGATAAGCTAGAACCTTTTGTTGAAGTGACATCAAATTATTTTTCTTTGTGAGACTTTTTTTTCTTTCCCCGAGACAGGATGTCTCTGTATAGCCCTGACTATCCTAGAACTTGCACTATGGACCAGACCAGAGATTCCCCTGCTTTCTGCCTTCTATGTGCTGGGATCAAAGGTGTGCACCACCACTGCCCAGTTTTTTTTGAGACTTTAAACATTTCTTCATTGATATCTTGATCTTGGTTTCTCCCCCCCCCCCTTCTAATTAGCAATAACCTCTCTGTTTTTGAGGCTTTGTTTTTAATTTAATTTTAGTTTATTCTTCCATCATTTCATGCATGCATATAGTGAACTTTAAGTTGTTTTTACTGTTACTCTTTTTCATCCCCTTTTCTCCCATTGAATCCCTCCTTCCCAGTAAATATCCTCCCTATTTCTGTGTCTTTTTCTGTTGTGAGTCACTGAATTTTATTGGGATTGCTTGCATGAGAATGGGTGGGAGGTCATTTACTGATTATCCCTACTTTTCAGTGGCTATATCACTAAAGAAAATGACACTCTCTCCCCCAGAAACCTTTAACTGCTACTTGTTCCTCAGGTATGAGTGGGGACTTGTAAGCCCTATCTTCATGCTTGATGAAATGGTAACAGGTCCGTTCTTGTGTAGGTAAGTGTAGCTACATTAAGTTCATGAGTGCAGTGGTCATGTTTTGTCCAGAAGGGTTTTGTTGTTTTTTTGCGATACATCTCTTCATCTTCTGGGTCTACATTCTCTATATCTTTATTTATGTATGTGTATGTGTGAGTGTGTGTATGTATGTATGTATGTATGTATGTATGTATGTATGTATGTATATATGTATATGACTGTCTTGTTGCATATTATATGTATATCTGGTACCTTTGGAGATGTATCCCTTGGAGTTGGAGATGGTTTTAAGCCCTCATATGGGTGCTGGGAAGCAAACCTTTGTCTTTCTTAAGAGCAACAAATGTTTTTAACCCATGAGCCATCTTTCTAACCTCTTCATTTTAAAAAATGTTTTGTGTGTTTTGCCTGCATGTGTGCATGTATACTATATGCTTGCACTGCCCAAGGATGCCAGAAGAGGGTATCAGAGATCCTGAAACTGGGTTACAGATGGTTGAGAGCCATTGTGTGGGTACTGGAAATGGAATCGAGGTCCTCTGGAAGAGCGGCCAGTGCTTTAAACCCCTGAGTCATCTCTCCAGTATAAGTGAAGGATATTATAACTATAAATTTATGGTGTTCTTGGTAATAAACACATGCCAAGGAAGAGAAAAGCAGTTATACTTTTTAATTGATGACTCTTGAGTAGTCAGTTATTTTCTATTATGATCATTTTAAATTTAGTCTCAGTGTAATAGATGTAGCCAAAAGCAGAGGAAGACATAGGAGACTATTCCTATTTAGAAACAAACTGATCTTTTGAGAATCAATGGCAAATATATCCTAATTAGTATATTTGACTCATGCTCTTCACCAACTTGTTCTGTACCATTTTTCTAAAGTAAGTGTATTTAATTCTTCTGCTTGTCTAGACCTTCTCTACTTAAGATT